TTGTCATTCACAAGGGACAAGCGTCCATTCCTGCTCCCTCCTTTCTCTTTCTGCTCACACTCTTCCCATCAGCTTCCTCTGCCCGCTTCTCCCCAATCTTGGATCTCTATATTTAACACTCCCTTATCTCCTTGTTTATTTTCAGCACCTGGAGGTGTGCGAGGAACCACTTCTACACCAGACTTCAGCAGCCAAACCAGGCACAGAGCAAGTCCCCGTGTCACTCTTGGCCAACCAGGATACCACCTACAGGCATCTCCATTGATATGTTCTACTGCAGCAGCCCGTGTCCCCACCTAAACAGGCCACGTGGCACAAGCCCAGCTGCTCGGCACTGACATCTCTTAGAGCCTTCCCAAAGCCAGACTGCAGAACAGCCATGCGAGGAGTCAGGATTGGTGCGATTGACATTACCTGGTGCAGTAATTAGAAGCTGTATTTACAGCCTTGATACCATTTTAACGCTGTTTTGCATCTGTTATACTTCCACTTAGAGAATAAATGTAGTGGGAAACATCTGTTTTCTACCAGTATCTAATACGACATTCCCCGGCCAGTGATTTCTCCTCCGTTACAGTGGGCTTTAATTATTTCAATTACCATAGCAGGGCCATCTCTCTGCAGCAACAGGTCCAAGCTGTGGCCCGGCTTTCCGAGCAGACAACATTACCTAACACTGCTTGTTTTTATTTCGCTCATCACAGCAACATGTGGAAGAAATAAAGAGCTCCCAGTGCAGATGTCATCTGCACTTTGCAGGCACAAGTGGCTGGGGAAGGTACTAGACAGGGAGAGGGCAGCCACGATCACGGTCGCACTCCAACTCACAACAGAACGTGCAAGGGGAGATGATGGCTCCAAGCGAAAGGGCAGCAGCCCCGAGGGGTCTGTCAGCTTTGCTAGCAAATAGGCTCTGTAAGGAAACGGCACAAACTTTTGGCCAAAACAGGTAGAAATACAGAATTGTCCTCTTTCACTTTCCCAGCTCTGGGTAGAAGCTGCTCCCACCTGAGTGGGGTTCACTTGCCCAGATCCTGGGCAGAGGTTCAGCCAACACATTGTCCAGCTCTTCAACCCCTCTCCCCTAAAAAGTTCTTGGGGGACCTGAGATGTTCCCCGAGAGGAGGTTGCCATGAGGTTTCCAGGCCACACTGCAAGGGAATCTGATAAGCCCCTTAAACCCCACAAGGGCTTCACTTGTCCTTCTTTGCCCTGATTACTGACTCTTGCACTGAGGTCACAGGGTATTAAGCAAATCTCACCTCAAGCCAAGCTCCCCATTTTCTAGACATCAACCCCCCCCCGAAATGTAGCCCACTGCAACAAGACCCATAAGTCCCAGACCACCTCTGCTGGCATCCTTCTCTTCCCCCCCATATTAATAAATAACACTGATCAAAACGGTTTTCACTCACCTGACTGGAGCTCCTTGCAGCCCTTTGCTGCCATCCCGCTCCAACTACTTGTGCGAACAGGTACTTCAGGTGTGGTTATTGCACAAGCTAAAGCTGAGGCAGAAGCAACTTTGAAGGTTGCCAATATCCCCCCAGGGTTGCCAATGTCCCCCTGTCCCAACACACCACTCCCTGCAAGGCATCTATGCACCCAGATGGCCAGAGCACACGGACCTTCTCCCTCCCTGCTCCCAAAGGCACCCCTTGTATTCATGATTTACCAGGATATGTCATTCCACTCACACTATGTGGGATCACAAATCAGCAAGGAGTGATGTTGGGAAGCACAGATGCTGCATTATAGGGTCAGGTCCTTCCCGCTTCTGTCCAGACAGATTTGGCCTGGGAGTGCAGTACATTTTTCCCAGCAAGTTCAGTAGAGGTGCACTGTCAATAGTGTTAAACTTGCCCAAAATGAGGCAACATCGTTTGCTGCTGTTGCACTAGAAGACTTCCATCAGCAACATGGTGTTGAAGGGATTATTCCCAAAGAGGCATGTACACATTTCTAAATCAGTGTTGTTTACTGGCCATACATCCAAGCAATTATTTTTAGGAACATCTCAGGCACAGTCAGTATTTGCCACAAGAGGGCTCCCACTGTAGGGCTGGAGGAGGCAGGAAGCTGCACGGCTCTTCCCACCAGCTCGGGGAACACGCAGCCTTCCACCCCTCCCTTGCACCCCTCGTTCTTGCAAATGGTCTAAGGGCTACAGGTTGCACTGAAAGGGAAGAGTTGGTAAAAGAATCTCAGAGCCTGGCATCCCTGTATTTTGTAGCTCAAGATGTGATCTGGCCCTCTTCTTATTTTGAATTCCACTTTTCCATTATTTAACCCAAAAAGTATTAAATAGGGAAACTGTGTTTACAGAGCTCCAAGAGTCTATTATAGAACCATTTAACGAGAGGCAAACTGCAGCAGAGGGAAGGGAAGTGGCTAAACCCTGTCTGACCTAGTTCATACGACAGGTCTCCAACAGACTAGAAAGGAAAACTAAGGTCTCCAGACTCCTATGCACATCTGGTCCCTCGGCCCACCATGAAGCTCCATGGCTCCTTGTGAAGCTCCTTTTAGCTCCAAGGGGCTAAACTAAAGGGATAATTAATGCCAGACTCTTTTTCTTTCCATCTTCATCTCCGCAGTGGTCAGAGCAGGATCCTTCAGCTTAGCCCTGCATCTAGATTAGAAAACAAACAGTGAGACTGCACTTAAAATTCACCGTACAGATACGGGGATAGGCCCATTGCTAGTCATTCTGCTTTCAGCCAGCGTGGCTCGTGATGAATCAAGCTAAACTGGTGTAAGAGCATAAGAGCACTGGGTAACCAGTTAGGTGGCTGCACCAGGAGTGCTTCGCTGAGAGCACAGCTCAGCCAACGCTCTGCCTAGGGTCAAAGAGCACAGGAGGGGACAGCCCGAGCTGCATCCTCAGATGTTCAAAGTGGAAGCAGGGAGATAACCTTTATGCTCAGTGATACCATCTCTGATCTTCACGGTCAGGCTTGGGAGACATGAGAATAAACTAGTAGCTTTTGCAAGCCCAGCCCCAGCTGCAGTGCAGATTTGCTCCGGACTCGGCGTCCCTGGCTTTTGTGACAGCCCTGCTTTCAACCTGCCTTTGTCAACCCTCAAACAAGGCATGTTAAGGGAGGAAACCTGGCTGTAAAAGGCTCAGCTGTGTGTCTGCCTGGAGCACTAAAGCCAAAGCAAGGAGACCTTTCTGCAGCTCTGGGGCTCATTTTCCATATAGCTACAGGGGTCTGAAGCCAGGGCCGTTTCTGTTTTTTTTTTTTTTTCTGCCCTATTCTTCTCCACTTTTCCTGCTTAATCCAAGCTTGTTCAGGCTGGATCCTTGTTTCTGCGCCAAATACAGAGCAGCATCCTCATCACAGGGCTCTCCAGACAGCACTACACCACAAGTAACTACAGCAGCTCAGAACTGCACTAGGAAACCCATTTTGCTTCCTAGCCTGCTTAAGGAGGAGAGCTGGGGTTATGCTGCCTTTTCCATAAAGCCAACAGAAGGCTCTTAGTTTATTTAGGTCAATTAACTTCAGCTTTCAAATTAAGTTCTCATCTCATTTTACAGACAAGCTGTAAGCAAAGCATAAAAAAAAAGGTCAGCTGAGGAGAACATAGACCAGGATTTTTAAACTGTTAAGCAATTTAAACCTAGAGGGTAAAACCAAACTGAGATCAGAGAAAAGACCACCTGAAAACTGCTGCTGTTTCAGATGCTTGTTTTTCCTCTCCTCTGTGCACTGAACTTGCAGGCCAGAAAGGAAGGAAAAAACACTGAAGAGCTGCACAGAGGAAGCCATTTGTGGAACTTAACAACACATTTTATTGGCCTCACACACTCCGGAACAGTGCTCCATATTCTTGAGTGCCATCTACTGGCATTTTTATCTCTGTGCTCTATATAAAATCAAAACCCCCCGTGTTAAAAGAGCAGTCAGGTTGAGGAGTCAAGCGCTTGGAAGTAGAGAAATGCCAGAACGCAGACTGCACGTGTAACCCAAATCCAGTCCCCCTGCATAGACGCATCCCAATACACTTTATAATGATATTATCGCGCGCTACTTTTTCTGCGGAAAAAAAGCCTCCTTTTGTGCACCAGATGGATAGTGCTCTCTTAATGAGCAGCTATTCAATATTTTTCTTTATCCTCATCATTCAATATGTAGCTCCATGTCCTGTGCATGGCACGCTATTCAAGTCCTGCTCTAAATAATGAGCTATTAATTTTCTCCTGGGCTTTCACAGCGTTTATTATCATAGCATCCAAGTGGTTTGCAAACATTAATTTGCCTTACAACAGCCCTGCGAGGAAAGACGGAATTATTCTCCTCATATGCATGGGAAACTGAGGCACAGACATTAAAATTAGAAGTGGATTACGGTGCGGTCTTAATTTGAGAAGTACAAGGGCCTATTTTTCAGAATCCATCGCACGTCAAGGCTTTCTGCACATCCAGAACACCAGTTTGATGGAAAACCAACCTCCATCTGCCACACCAGCAGCAGATGAACGGTGGCCTTCGTTTCACCTAAGCTTCCCCTGCATTTGGCATCCAGTCTGGTGATCCTCGAGGCCTCCACACTGCCCTAATGCCCCCCAAGAAGAGGGGCACGCACAGAAGCCACGCCACCCATCTCACGGGTGCCATTAACCAGGTCAGGAAATAGGATAAAGACCTTCCCGACAGTTAAAACTGCCCAGGGAGCCCTGGCAAAAGGCTGCCGAGAGCCACCCAGGAAAGCAGGAACACAGCCCATGAACACATAGGTCAGAGCAGCTCCACATCACTACCAACTTTTGGATAGAGCTGCAGCTTTGGATCCCCTCCTCTGGGGCTGCTACATGAGCCCAGCTTGGAGCTTTGTAAGAGCCACCTCCAATTCTGCCCTTTGAGCAGAATTTCCCACAGCTCCCATCGCGATTTTCCCTCTGCTCTGCACTCCCAACAGAAACACAAAACCCTTCTGAGGAAACAATCTTCTTTTTTTAATTATTATTTTTTTAAAGATTTTGTACTCGGAAAAGGCAGCACTACCCATTTGTATCATGATAATACTACATTTTCTTATTGCTTTCCATCCTCTCCCACTTCTCCCGAGATCTTATTTGCATTTTTGATCAGACTCGTACACAGAGGAGATGCCTTCAGGGAGCTGGCTCTAACAGTGTCCAGGTCTTTTTCCTGGGCTGAATCAATTAATTTACACCTCTGGGAATAAAGCGAATTTCTTCCTGCCATGTGTACAATTACTCCTCGTTTTCATCTGCGAGAGGGCGAGGGGGAGAGTCAGGCTTTGAAATGCAAAGTCATACGTGCAAATCACAACCTCCAGCGGTGAAGGCCACATCAGGGCGCTGCGACGCGGGGCCGTGCGGCGCCTCACCTGCCCGGGAAGGACCAGAGGCTCCTCTGCGCTGACGGGTCCCCGCCGAGCCATTCACACTCATCCTCTCCCCAGGTGCCCGCAGGTCAGCAAGGGCCCTGCGGAGCAGAAGGACACAGGCGAGGTTCAGTGGGACACTAAGGCAGAAGCATGAGGAGGCAGCAAACACAGCCCACAAACGAGTCACGTAACTTGCTTTCCGCACACACGTCTCTCCAAAAGGTTACCCGGATTATTTCTGCCCCAGCCCCAACTTTTTATTTAATTTTCCTCTCAAGTCTTGATCCTGGAAGGTGTTTAGCCACGTCACTGAGACAAAGCACAACAGCAGGAAAAAAGGCTAACACAGGGAATATCTGCAGGTTTTAAAATTCCGCATTTTGCCAAATTGAGGTTCTGAAGCCCCAGGTTCCCTTGTGCCACTGCAATATTCAGAGACATTATTTGTTTTTTCCCCCCTGCTCTGTGTTAACCATGGCCAAACTCTACCCCCTGCTTGCACCATGTTACACATGGGAACCTTTGCACCAACACAACCCTTGTAGAAATACATTCACCACTGAAAGCCCAGTGCGTAGCTGGGAATACATCTTCATGTCTGGTATGCTCCAATGTCCTCTCTAGGTGGCAATCAGTGCTGAATCTTCCCCTAAAACGCTACTTGTAAGACTCTTAGATAACTGTTTTCCCAGCCCCAGCCATATATCAGTTTTTGTCTCAAGGCATGAGCCAAGAACATCTCCCTCCATAGTGTATGGAGGCAGAATTGCTTTTAAAAATGGCCAAATTAGGTTTTTAAAGCATAATACAGAACAGGATTGATAATCTAAAGGCACAAATTCTGCTAAAGTAACCAACCACAGTCAGTTCTTTTCTTAAGTTCCTTTTGCATCCTTGCTCCTATGTCCCTTTTTGTTCCCATGTCGTGCTGCTCTCCAAGGCTTCCCGCTGACCCTCTTCCCCAGCAGCGCCAGGGAAGGTGCTGAAGGCTCCCACTGGATTTCAGCCTGCGTTTCCCCTGCTTTCCACCCGAGGGGCTCACCTCCACCCACCCACCCCTGCACGGCCAGGAGCTTTTACCCCACGCACACCTTGCTGGAGAGCACTTGTCGGGCAGTATGGGGAGGCTGAGAAGGACAAGGACAACCAGGATACCTTAATGCAAAATCCAAAGGTGGATTCTGGAGATTCCCAACAGCTTCTCTCCTGCTCAAGACGTGAGGAAACAGCCTGTCTTTTCAGGATTCCTCAACTCGCTAGGGAAACAGAGAACTTCTCCGGAATGCCAGGCACCCTCCCGCACTCTGAAGGCATTTCCCAGCACCTCATCTCCTCCTCTCATGAGCTGCGTGTCCCCCGTGCCCGTCAACGGCTGGGAAACCTCTGCTTGAGCAGAGGGTCAAGGAGAGGAGCCCTCTGCTTGAGGGGTCAAGCTCGAGCCCTCTTGACCTCAAGCTTTAGACCAAGGGAGATCGCTCTGAAAGGCAAGTAGTCCTCCTCAGTCCAACTCAAGGTCCAGTGCCCAATGCCTAGGTTGAACTCTGTACTTAATTAATCTCTCGTGCTGTGGCCTAATTCTCTTTTCAACATGTGGCTGTCACTTCCCTGTCATCACCGCTGATTTACAATGGGCTTTAATTAAATCCTCCGTACATTATTCAGCATTCTCTCAAGACAACACCAAAGCAGCCAAGGGTATTTAAAATGTCACCTGCTGAGACGTATCATCTCCTCCTAAATAAATATGACAGTGATCAAACTTTGGCTAATTACAGTGACTTCGTTATTTGTTTGTATGTTTTAATATTTAATTGCTTTCGTGTTCATCCAATTACAAAGCAACAGCAAATAGAAATTAACTTTTTATCAGTGTGTTCCCAGCCCAGCTAATCAGCACTTCAAAGGCCAGACACAATAGGAGGCCATCCAACCTGAGAGCGCTTTACAATATATTCTCTGCTGAATGGGCCGTGCTATTAAATTAAGGGAGAATTGTGTTTGTCCGTGTATTCCCAGCTCCCACCCAGCTCTCCCCTTTACACTGCCGTTTATGGGCGCTGCTGTAGCAGCCTTGCAGGACAGTAAATTGTTTGCATTGCTCCTGCGTGCGCGCGGCCAGCGCCTCTAACTGCTCTGCGGCTGCCCGAGGTGCCGGCACGGCGCTCCGTGTCAGCCAGAGATAGTGGGAAATCGCTCCGTGTCAGCAAGAAATAGTGGGAAATTGCTTCCCTTTCTCGCTTACAGGTGGTCATGGAGAGGCGAGAGGCCAGATCTCGCAGCTAAGGTCCCTGTGCACACCACGCAGTACGAGCAGAGCCAGCCTGGACGCCAGCAGCAGCCCACCACATCAAGCCAGCGCTGGGCCCGTAGATAAGGGGCCTTCTCTGCTAGTAAATAACACATATGGGAAACAGCATCTCCCACGGAGCCACTCTCTCTCGGCAAATATTCTCCCGTCTTTTCTTTTGGCTCGCTTAAAGTGATTCAACAATTCTCGCATCCCCCGAGACAGGGAGGCAAAAATAATTGCCCAAACTCAGCCACTTCTGCTTATCCTCCTGCATCTGGCAGCCAGCCGATACACAAGAGTGGAAAGAACATACCCACCAGTCCACCCAGCAGGGCCACCAGTCCACCCAGCAGGGCCACCAGTCCACCCAGCAGGGCCTTCCCAGCACGGGCCCGGTGGTGGCCATCCAGGTGCAACATGAGCCTAAGCAGGCAGGGGGGCTACACCCACCTTGCTCTCTCTCGCTGGCTTTCAGACACTGGACGCCCAGTGCTAACGAGGCACCCGCCTGCAGTCACGTTATTTCCATGCTGGGTCGCAAGTGTCTGGTGTGATTAGGCTCGGATCTGTAACGTGGGCAGTTGTACAGGCTCCTGGCTCTGCTAGGGCCATCTGCACCCATTTTAGCAACTGTCAAGATGGGAAAGATCAGCAAAAAAAAGCTTCAGGACTCAACCTATATCAGCAAGATTATTTTTACCAGCACAGCCACCTGGCCGCTGACCAGCAAACTACTTACACTGTCAGAGTTGCGCGTAAAGAGGAGAGGTTAACTGGAGCTGCTTTCCCATTGCAAACCTCCCTGCAGAAGCAGAAACCAGCTACAGAAAGAGTGATTTAGGGTCAAAGAAGACAGATAAACAGCACATAAGGCAAACACCAGAGAAGAAATACAGCCAGACAAGTCTATGCATAAGTGACCTACATTAACGGGAATTGATCTGTGCTGAATCTCTTCTGTGTTTTACTGCATTGTCCTACTATTCCTTCCCCCCAAAAAGCCACGCCTTTTAGTTGCCACAATAAAAGCCTAGACAAGAGATCAGGAATCGCGGCCCGAGTGAGTTGTGATCTTGGGACACAATCTACATAATGGCAATAACAAGGTCCCACCTCCTGGTTTTAAGAATTCAAGCAGAGAAGTGTGTGCATAGATAGGGGCAGGCCAGGTGCTGGAAGCCTTGAAAGTACACACAGGAATTGTGACACGATCCCACCAACCTGGCCTCGTCTTTTAGAGTTCCCAAGCCTGTCTTTTCACGTAAGCACAAAGAGAATAAAGAAAAACATCTGCACAGCTGACGATTAGAGAAATCTGTGTGGTTTCTTTCTCCAAGAGCAGTAACACGTGTGGCAAGTTACACCCAGCCCCAGATCCTCTATGCAAATTCTCCACCCACCATTTGTCAGCAGCAGCCCTGGGCTTGGAGGTAGCCACTCAAAAAACAGAGGCAAGACTATGTAAAATACAGGCAAACACTGCCCTAAACAAAAATCTCTCCAGAAAAAGGTATCCTGGCAACAGATGAAGTCATCACTAGCAAGATGCTATACAAAAGCATTTGCAGTGTGAGAAAAAAAAATTCTTTTGGAAAAAAGTACTTTCATGAGATGGAAACAATGGTTCAAAAACATCCTGGGGATTCTTCCACTGAGAAACTCCTGTGTGTTTAATTTTAAGTTGTTCTCATAAAATATTTAACAAAAAATAAAGATTTGGTCAAAATACTTTGATTTCATTGGAATTAAGTATTTAATGTGACCCAAAATACTTTTTCAGAATTTGATTTTTGCTTTAAAAAAAATCTAAAATTGCAGAGTTGGTCATGCAAATGGCTGTTCTAATCTCTGCCTAGCTTCACTAGGGACTCATCCACTATATTGACATACTACTCCTTTTGCTCCCTTAGTTTCTCATCCAGAATCCAAAGATTCATTAAAAATACACATATATGGGGCTCAAATGAAGACGAAAATACCAAGAATCAAGAGGGAACAGCTTGGATGAGACACTTGGAAGCCACTCCATGATCTATGCGGTGGCACTGGAGCAGAGGCTCTGGGTTAGGAGGAAGAGAAACGCACAATAGGCATATGGAGAAAAACAGGCACTTTCTTCTTCTCAAAGTGGATTTTGAAGTCCATGTGCAAAGGGTTTGTCAAAATAGTCCGCCAATGACACGAAGAGCGGCAAATAAAACAGTTATAACAATATACATAGCATCACAGAAGAGTTGTTTTCCTCAAACGCGAGACTATCAGTCTAAGAGCTTAAAAAAAAGCTGGATCAAATCAAAGGTTTCAACTAGCACTGCCCAAACACACTGCAATTCATTGCAACTTAGAATTCCAATTTATCACCTTGATCTTGGCCCAAGAAAATACTATTACTCCATGTATATCCTGAACATTTTCTAGTGTAGGAGGTAACTCCAACTCAGCTTCATTAGCGTCTGCTATGTAACATCTGGGGTGACCGAGCTGTGGACATTATAGAGACTTCTGAAACTATCTTGCCATCAAAACTCTAGAAACCATAATGCCATGCTGGGGACAGAATGAAAATCAAGTTTCCCCCTTGACTTTCTACTTTTCTGGTCCCATCTTCTTATTACAAGTTGGTTCAATTTTAAAATGGATCTCCTGGGGCTACTAGAGAAACTAAACTTTCATTCCCTAAAAATACGTTTCTAGACTTTGTAGTTGCAGAGAAATAGAGGGGCGAGTTGGGGGGGAGGAAAAGGGCTATTTTTTTTGTTTCCTCTGAGGAGGAGGAAAACCAGGACCCTAACGAACACGCCTACCTTTCCCTAGGTAGTTTATTCACTGTGCATTTCTTTTTTTCAGATTGAAGCTTTACCTGGTCTTGCGTTCAGTTCATATCCCAGAACCATGGGCTGGACTAGAAAAAAAATCTTCCAGTTCACAATTACAGATCCCTTAAAACCCATTGAGATAGGTGGCATGATCCCAGGAGATGGCATGCAACCTCAGCATCAACTGACCACAGAGTTAAAACTCGGGGGAAAGGCCCAAGAGCCTCAGACATCTTCCAGAAGGTCCATCAGGACCTTCTATAGGCTAGAACCATGACCAACTACCAAGAAGCAAAATTTCCAGAAGCAAAATTTCCCAACAAACCCACAACTCAAGACATGGAAAAAGAGCAAATTATCCTCCAAAAAAAAAAAGAGAGAAAAGCCAAAGCAAGTGCTCTGCGCACGAGCATTGCATTTGCAATTCTGATTCTCTAATAGGAAACGTCTCCCACTTGGGGGAGGGGTAGACAGGAAATATTACAGCAATGTTATTTTGTTACACTAATTACCAATAATGGCACATACTAGGGTACAAACCACAGTCAATTCATTTTAAAAGCTATGTAATAATGTTTAGGATAAGGACTTAATTTTTATAGCCACTGAAGCAGATTTACTTGTACTGTAATACAGATTTATTACAAATTACATTTCCTAACTCAAGTGGTTGACTTGGAGAGGCTCTGCAGGATTTGTGGGGAAACAACTTGACATAAAGGGGGGGAAAATAAAAAAGAGCCGAGTCAAGGTACACCTCCTTTGGTGGAAAGCCTGTCCAGGCATTATCACCTCCCATCCCAACCTCCTCGTCCTCCTCAGACCAGCTCATTCCTAATGAGTGTTCCTCTGTTCTAGGGGAAGGTGGGGTAGAAAATCATCCTTTCTCACAGGGAAAGCCTAACCCTCAAATGGACAGGCTGGAGACTGCAAGCAGGTCACAGACACTTCCCCTCTTCCTGGAGGATCAGGATTTGACAGCCTAGAGGACAAAAGCCAGTAGAAGAACATGGATCTCAAGATCACAGTAACTATTACCTTACAGCCTAAAGGTATTTAAAGAGGTAAGAAAATCTGGTGGTAGATAACACTATCCAGACACAGCTGGCCCTATTTCCCATTCTGACCTTCCAACTTGCATAACTTGTTTTCTACGAGCACCAGCACAGTTGCTTTCCAGGGCAGCCTCCACCTGCTCTGCATTAGTGCTCCAACTAGGTCAGATCCACCACCTCCACCACCGTGAAGCATGGCCATGGAGACCAGGACCACCCCAGGTGACCTCCATTTAGTCAGCTGCTTGTGAAGGACTTATTTAATTGTACAATTTTAAGTAAGTAAAGTTTTAATAACAGGTTCCCTCCACCTTGCAAAAAGAGAATTCCAAAAGAGATCCATAAAGCAAAGACTTTGAAGTGCAGCCAAGAAGACAGAAAACACAGACAGTCTGCGGTGTCAATCGCTGAATATGGAACAGTTCAAATCTTGTCTTCTACCTCCCCGCACAAGACAACCTTCTGGATCACAGGGACTGCCAGTCAGACGATTAGAAGCAAGGCTGGGCCTAAAGGGACCTGAACAGCACAAGTCCATAGGTGTGCAGAACTTCACAAACAGCCCCAAACAAGGGCAGATGTTGATCATTTCTAATTAGGACCAACATTCAAACTTGAGCCCCACCGAGTTATCACTTATGATCTGGTTATATTTAGTTTCTTCACTCTCTCACTTGCCAAGGTCTAGGCTCAAATTCATCAACACCTTGAGGAGAAAGTCCATGATAGGTGCAGTAAACACATTGATATGAAATGGGTAATTCTGCAAAGGGAGATCTGGCAGGAGCTTCCCACAAAACTGATCCCCAAGGATGAGCTGCAGGCAGGTGAACAAAGATGGAAACTCAGCAGGCTGCAGAGCCAGGAGGCAAGCTCTGATCTCAGGCTGACAGGAACACTGCAAATATCAGAAAGAGCTCAGCCTCCAAAGGCAAGGAGGCATCAGGTCTTCCTTTTCCTCCAGTCAAATGGAATAAAGAACTGCCACACACACAAGTGCTCAGAGACCTGTACAGGAAACAGGGTCTTCACCCCACTGGCAAATGCTTCTGCTATTTAATGAGCCAAGTAAAACGCCCCAATCAAATCAGATAGACAGACATCTCCTAGGATGCCTTCAGTGCAGAGGACATGGACCAGGCAGTGCTCGGTACAAGGACTGGAATCTCCCTGTCGATTCTCAGGATCTCCAGTGGCTACTATGGCACTTCCACCTGCCTCCATTGACATGCTGGCCAGACACAGAAATCCTTGCTTTTTTTTTTTTTTGCTACACACTTCCCATTTCCATGTGCTAGTAGTGAACTTCTGCTGGAGACTTCCCTGCTACTGCAGGGAGCTCTTGCTGGCCCGCACCTGGGGAAAGGAGCTCCAGTTTGCCAAGGCAGCTCTTGACATTATTGGGATTATCTACCCCTGCTCTGCCTCCACCCACCCTCCCCCCTTGCAAAAAAAAAAAAAAATCCCCAAAAAACCTACACACAAAAACCAAAGCAACCAAAAAAAAACCCACAAAAAGCACACATTCAACTCAAGTTTTGCTTTTATCTTCATTGACCACTAGCAGTCAAGCACAGCATCCAAGAAAGGTAGGAAGAGATTTGCAGCGGGGTTTAAAAGCCATCTCTGCGCTGAGCTGCTGTGCATAGGCACCAAACAAAAGCTCTGCTTAGCGGAACGAGCGACTGGGCTGGAGCGGCTCCAGATTCACTTCTCGCTCAAAGAGGAACACGGCCAGGGCTCTGCAGCCATGCCCAGG